AAAATTGGAGTCATGCAGCAGATATGAATCCCATCCAAAAAAATTAAAACTTCAGGAGAAATCACTGTAAGCAAAAGTTTTCTTTTAAAATTGATCCATAAAGTGAGACTGGATGTTTTGGAAAATGGATGAAAATCCCAAATCACTCACCACTTCTTCCCTCTTTGAAAAAGTGTGTTTCCTTTAAATTATACTGGTGGAATACATGAGATACATGAACAAAAAAGATTTTACCCTCTAAATCCAGCCTAAAGAATGTGAATAATCTTACCTCTTTGCATTTATGTAATCTGTCCATCTATCTATCTATTTACTATCTATCTATCTGCCATTTCATCATGAAAGATTTCTTCAGTTTGACCACTTTAGCCACAGGGAATATGATTATTTCCTGTCTTAAGTAATTCAGAATAGAGGAAGTTTCAAGAGACACGCAAGCTGTGACAAATTATGGGATTTCACCCTGTGCTGGCCAGGCACCTTCCTCTTCCACTGGCAGCAATGGGAGCTGAAGGTGTTCAGCATCTCAGAGGAGCTCTGTCAGCATGTGCTCAACTTTTACAGAACGTTGGTAAGAAATACCCTCATGTTGGACTGTGGCTTTTCCAGGAAACCCTTGCTTCTGTGTTCTTGGCTTTTTTGCTGTCACTTGCAGCCAGCTTTTCTTCAGCTGGAGGCGTTAATGACGAATTTTCTAGCCCAAATTTCACAATGTAGCCTTGTTAGGTAAACTTGTTTGTTAACGGCATTTCTCAGCTACCATAAAAACACCCCCCAAACCTTCCCTTATTTTTTTTTTTATTATCTTTGTGTTGTAAGGTAGGAGGCCCGTGAGGCCCAGATCCCATTCATTTCTGTAACTGAGCTACAAACAACGGATTTTCTGAGGTGGAGAGCTTGACTGAACAGATACTGGAAATGACATGTGTGATCTTTTTTAACGTATGTCTTATGTTTTTAAATGGATATATTTGTTTGCATCAAAGATTTTAAAACTACAAGAAATGACCGCACAGCTATCATCTGTCTGTATACACAGTGTGGGTCACAGAAGACAAACCCCTGTTCAGTGGATTTTGCACCAAGCATATTTTCCAATGGCACTAGAACAGACTTTTCAAAAACATGTTTTAGCTGAAAGGAATTTAGTTTTGTAAAAAATCAAGGCAGCACTGAACAGGTTTAATATGAACTGGGAGAAGCGGTTATCTTTTTTCCCACTCTGGCTGGCCATCAGATCCCCACAGTTGTCTGCTATGTAGCAGCAGAAGGATAGAGAGAGCAGCTATGTTAAGATAAGTTACACTTTATACATTTATTAGTTAAGCATTCTTCTATAGAAAATAGAGAAATACATATCTTTGAGAGTGATTCAACCAGCTATCTTGACGGATGAACTGGCCTCTATAGGTGCTCTCTGTTTTTATTGAACGTAGAGAAGCTTAAACAATTAACTTAGACTACATTTCTACTTTCAGCTAACAGCTCAAGCTACACTAGTGTAGTACTCAGAAGACACTTGAGTGACGGATGACGGTGACCAATGTCACTCAAAGCAATTTTAGGGTTTTGCAACTTGACCACCTACACAACATAACAGCCAGTTCCCACTGTTCATGGGAGAGAGGCCTGAACACATTTTTTCCCAAGCCAAGTTTCAGAAATACGCCTATAACTGGCCTTGAGGTCTGGGAAAAGAAGAAGCTGCATTAGCAGCTGCTGGCTATGGTTTCCCAATTGTTATTTTTTACATTGGTTAAAGTAGATGGATGTTGATCTACATTGTAACTTCTTTCCTTATCCTAGAATTGGTTTTATCCGGTTTGCAGTAATGTGACCTATGTTTTAACCCAGAAAGATTGCTGCCTATCCTTGTCACATTGGTAGTACCAAATGATGCTACACAGGGCATCACAGGAATCATCAGTACCACTGCGTAGTGGTGATCCTAACACAACACCAGCAGGGATTCAGCTTTCCTAAGTGTTCACAGTGTGAGTGTCTACATGTGAGCTAACTGTCTAAGCTTGCATTATATCAACAGAAATCTAATCAATATGGTCAAATGGCATCTAGAGAGCATTTATTTGACCACATGTGAGAGGTAAACTTAGGATGATTTGTGCAGCAAACAGAAGCTCACCAAATGTTTTGACCAACACCATTGACTATGATGAGAGTCTAAGCCTGCGATCACATGAAAACACTTAGGCTAAAATTAAGCTGCTTTTGAGACAGTCTAGTGAACCTGAGACATTGACACAGGCCTGGTGGCTGTGACCCAGGACCTAGAGGGGACATGTGGCTTCTCAGCTGATGGCTGGAGGCCAACTGGAAGCCTTCAGCACCTTAATGATATGAGATACCTCTTCAGTCAGCTAAGTAGAGCCACTACTTTGCAGGCTCAATCCTACAATACAGTCAACAAAGCTGAATCATTACTCAGCTTGAGTGAAAAATATGAGACAATGGCGAATGTTTCAAATAAAGTATTTTACCCTTGGTAAACTTTTAGCAAAGATAGAAGCCTGCGAGGGCAGGATTCAACCACCTGAACACAGGTGCCTAGAGACAGTGTAGGCTCTGTGGGGCTTTGGGAAGTGCTGATCTTCCAGAAGTCCTGTTTCATACCTGTATGGGTGACTTGGATACCCTACAGCACCTCAAACGGACTAAACATGTGTTTAGGAGTTGGATTCCTGCCTGGGCAAATCTGTCTCAGTTAATAACAATATGGACTATAAGTACACACAAAACCAGTAACCAGACACTAGGGAGTGGTACATAGTACAGTACCATAGTACAGTAATTAACAAATAGGACTGTAAACTTATTAAAAGGGAGTAAGAAAATCGTGATTGCTTGGACTGAGCTAGAAACAACACCCAGATTCCAAATTACTGAAAGCAGTTCTTGTGCCTGCAGGCAGGAGAGAGCTGCCACCAGCAGACGTGCCTTCTTCCTAATGGTGTGGCTGGAATGGAGGAATCACCACACTCACACAGGCAGAGGAAATATTCACTCACATAAGCATGGGGAATATTTCTCACTAAGAAATCACTTCATTTTGAGTTCTCAGTCTTCCTGCTCAAGGGAAATCCACAAAATAAAATTCAAAAAAATACACATGGCAACTAAAAATCAGAACTTGACAGGATACCAAAACACACGGACTAAAAATATGCCATTACAAACTTTATCCTCTCTTTACCTTCTTCATCGTCCGTGGTTTGTAAATTACACTTTATCCTTCTCTTTTGTCCAAAACATAACCGCCTCCTTGCCCCTTGTCTCCCATTTAACATTTTCTCTGCCCCAAGGGTACCCACTATTTTCTTCTAGAGGGGAATTAGTGTTCTGCCCTAAATCTGAGGAGCTGTTCCAGCATTGCCTTGAGATCTTTTGCTTCTTCGTATCTGAAGGGAACATGTGCCCCCAGTTTTAATTTTTTAATATATAATTGGTCTAGTAAGAAATATTATCTTTCCCTGAAAGTCTTGTGTTATGTTTGCAGACCAACTTTGCTAAAATAACATAATCAATTTAGATTTATATACTTCTAAAACAATTTTTGGTTTAATTGTCACTGATAGTTCAGTAGCACTGGTTTACACAAGAAAATATGATTAAATAGCTTTGCTACTAGTGTTTCAGATTAAAGAACCAGTACCTAAGTCACCTTCTGAGAACAGGATTCACATAAATTAACTTCTTTATTGAAGCCTTTGATTTATTGTAATTTAATTTAATTTTTCTTATTTTATATATTTTTTTAGGTTTTATGAAGACTATAATACAATCAAGTTAATTTCAATTATACAATTTCTTATCTTTGCATATTATTAGACTAATTTTTACCCTTGAATTTAATAAACATAAGAACTACCACGTCTTTTCTTTATTTGTGAAGGACACAATTTAATAGGCTTCTAATACATACAGCTAAGTAATGAAAAAATTAAATGGATATGTTTTTATAAGGTTACACATTCTTTTGTCAAAATGCAGTTACTTGTATTACAGTAACTTGAAACCTTCCTCTGAAGTATGTTGAATAATACAGACATTGTACGAGATAATACATATATGGTTGTATAGTTTCTAGTTTTATCATCTGAGCCACAAAGACTAAAATGAAAGTGGGTAACCCTTCAAGCACCATTTTAACTGAGGATATTTGAAAAAAATTGCAGTTAAGCTGGAAGTCAAGCTGTCTTGTTTTCATGAACTTTTTGTATCAGAAATATTTTTGCTCAAGAATTTTCATTTTCTAAGTAAACTTCTTCATCCTTTAACCCAATGAAATTAGGAGAGATTTACTAGCTATTGGACTAGTAAACACTTGAAAGAGTCTTGAGTAAAGAGCGTTATTTGTCCATTATATGATGTGGCTACCTGTGGTAGCAAGGGACTGGTTTCAGTGATCTCAGGTGTCCTTTCTAATTTACATTTTCAGTCTTAAGCCCAATTCCTAAACCCAAAAGCATTGGGAGAAAATCCCTCCTACACTTGCAAAGAAATACACCGTGGGGAGAAGGCTGAGTGGAAGTTGGAGAAAGAGGAACAGAAAGCGGAAAGGTGATTTGTAGACTAATGTTAATGAGCTCCAACCAGCCTAATTACCCATAGGATTTTCATCAGGGCTTGTGTGGGATGATGGAGCTCAGAGCCAGCTGGCTGCCTCATTCTCTGGCTTTGGGTGAAAGACCTGACGTTTCAAGCTGAAATATATTTTTTAGTGTTTGGAAGCTAGAATTGGCTCTTGAATATTAGTGCAAATAAGACATTAAGGACACAATGATAGGACAACATAATTTATTAGGAAACTTTAATGTAGCAGATGAAATGGTGATAAATTATATAAATGTATTTGTTTTACAGTAAATAATTATTAAGACTATACTCCCACAAAATTTGGGCAGAAATCCATTCTGACTTGATAGTCATGAAATACTGAAAAATTCAGCGCATAAAATTTTACACTGTGTGTACAGAAAAACATTGCAATTAGCAATTAAACCAGCTGATGCTCTTCATTTGTCCGACAATCCGTTTGGCACGGGGATCAAACTGGAACTGAGTTGTTCCATGGAAGAAGTAGACATAACCTAGAAATAAAATTTAATCCCATTATATTTCATAGGTGAATTCTTTCCAGTATTTTGGAAAAAAAAACCCAACATAAATAGTCCATGTGTACTTGCTGTTTTTCATTTCCATCTCATTAAGGTTAATAACAGGTTTTTGAAAAAAGGTGATTCTATCTACAGAAGCCCAAATATTCAAGTAAATCCAGATTAAAAGTGTATTTTACTTACCATCTTTCTGGAAAGCAGCATCAACTCTGCCAATTTTTCCAAAGTCGGAGACTATTTTCCTGGGATAACCATGATCCATGGATTTTTTGTTTTCATCATATCTTAACATGAGAAATATGATTACAATTAATGAGGAAGTAGACAATATTTTGAAAGTCCAAAGCAAATACACACACATATACAACTCTACTGTTACTAAGAAGTCTTATAAAGATTAGCTAAAGTAGCTTTTGGATTCTTCCTATTATGTATTAAGGTTCTCACATTATGAATGTCTTGAGATTTGAAAATCCTGCCTTTGGCAAAGTTTGTCAGAAGGCTCTCAAGGACCTTGGGAATGCAGCCCAGGAATTTATTAATGGACTGTCCAGAGCCTTGGCCATCACTTGCACATATAGCGAGCTTCTATTTCAAGGCACTGAATATCCAGTTCAGTATAAAAGCAAAACATAAAACTTGGGAGTAGAAGGCAGTAGCACAGTCCTGAAACATACTTGTATTAATGTCAACCATGTACTTCTTAAACAAAATTGCTCTCTGAAATTTGTCCTGAGCTACACTTGAATTATAAATATGAATGACACTACAGTTGGAGAATATATTTAGTTTGTTCATAGAGAAATTCAATTACAACACTTTTTAATAGCAGTTAATTTTGTTTGAAATGTGAATGAAAAGTGGGCATTTTCACAACATTGCACAGAAAAGCAGCACTGTTGTGGAGCAATTTCAGAGAATCTTGTTTGAATTTCTGGAATACACCTGGTTTAAACACCATTGCACTTGAATTTTATAGTAATACATCAGTCCTCAGGGGCAATTGAAAATATGCCTTCCAGTAAATGAACATTAAATCTTACCTCCAGTATCTATCAGCTATAAAGAAATATGTTTTTCCTGTGGTTTCATCACTGTAAGCTGCATTAACTCTTTTAACAGTCTTCGGGAACCCCAATCGATGGATAGGTTTAGGATAGCCAGGAGCAATGTTATATCCCCTGAGAACCCAATATTTACCCTCTGAAAAATATAAGCACATTTAATTTGTTTTTGCTATTTATAAACAACATTGAATTGTGTTTTAGACGGGGAGCAAAAAATGTGTCTTAGATATCAGTATTATTCCTTTCAGTTTATTACTTTTGAAAATGTTTCTAATCCTTACATGGGGACTATACCATGAAGACAGTGGAAATGTCTTTTGTTTTTATGAGCAAAACATAAAAAGCATTCATAAGGAATATGTATAGTACATTTCCCAGATTTTTTTTCAAATTCATATAAAGTATTTGTCTGGATAACAGCTTGGGGAGGGCTGGAGGTTGATGAGTTAATCCACTGACATTGGACTGGGATATTGAGTTTATTAAATTCCTGTAATATGCTATTTGATTATAGAGCCAGATAGTATTTTGCAATCTAGACAATGTGCATTAAATTTAACTATTAAGAAGGGCATATGTCTAATCAAAATGCTTTGGTAGTTTTAGATGCAATAAACATATTCATATATTGTAATATATCATCTACTATGATCTGTACATAATGAAGTTATTTGAAACATTTAAAGTGCATTTGAGACCTTTAAAGAAAAGGATTTTTTTTTCAATGAGCAAATTTCCTCTCACAGTATGCTTTTCCATCAACATTTTTTTCCCCCTAAAATATTGTAAAATACTAGTATCAGCAACAGTAGTGTACAAATGACTATATTTGCCCATTGAATTCATTGACTATAGCAGAGGGGCAAGTTTTCAGGCTTATGACCTCTGGAGATCCCTTACAGCAGTATAGCTCTATGATCCTCCGGTTTAATTATTTGCAGATTTTAAAGGTTCTCTGTTTCACTGATCTCCCTTAAAAAACACATGGACTTCCATAATTGCATAGTTTGCAAAGCAGCAGGAAGTAACTGGTAAGAAAAAGTACAGAATGCCAGATTCCATTACCTTTAAAAAGCAAAACTTCATCCCTCTCCACGTTTTCATAAGCAGCTTGAATTCCTGATGGCAAATTTGGCCAGAACAGTGAGATAAAGTTGAGCTCTGTCTCTGTCCTCGTAGGATGTTTGCGCAGCATGTATCTGGTTTAAACAAAATTTATGGAATAAAATACTTCCACTTCTATCATAAGTGCAAAATAATTATTGTAGCTCCTGGAGCATAACAAGAGGGAGAGATGGGTACCAGGGTGTGAATGTTCCCCTCCACTGAATGTAAAGGAAATCTAGAGTGACTGCACTCTTAACTTTAGCACCTCAGTTATATGCTAAAAATCAGGCAAGATGAATATAAGCCCTTCTAGTTCTCTGTAGCTCAAGCAGGCTAAGAGTTGGCTTCAGCAACCACCTAACAAGACATCTTTCTATGTAACATTGCTTTCAGTTCTGCCCCTGCTCTTGTATTGAGGAATAGAAAGGTGACAGTGTAGGACCTGTGGACACATTGCTAAGGGGTATATGAATGCTCTTGCTTTAGTATTAGTTGAATCGAGTTCAGACACTCATCTGCTGCAGCCGTGGCCAAAGCAGCAGAATACTTGGAAAGCAACCTACAAACCCTCATATCCTTCACTGCTCTTGTCAACTAGGGCTCTTGGGATTAATGATTTGAGAACACTTGCTTGTGTAAATACATGGTGGTTTTCTAGTGCTTCTCTTTGTACTACATTCCAAAAGGACAGTTTCCCCTCATGGATTACAGATTTTTTTTTTTATTACTGAATATTTTAAAGAGATAATATATAAGTTTATTGTCGTTACCTGCCCTTGAAGAATATTATTTCTCCACGTAGGGTAGTAATAGCATCAAATGTCAAATTTGGGTCACAAGCCTGTGGAGTTATAGGTCCTGTTGGCTGCACAGCAGCACTAGACTGTCCTATAGGAAGAATATTTTATCTTTTAGTATGAAGAAATATAAAGACAGTGTTCAGAAGCTCTCTGAGGACAATAACCCTCTCTACAGAGAATGAGAAGGCATGGTTTTAAACAAAGGGTCTCTCACTAAAAGCAGGATTTTAATGCTGAGAAAACTGGTTGTGTTCATCTTTTACAAAATGAGTTTTTTGCAGAACTGGACTTCAGCTGAAGTCAGCTTTCCAGGAATTTTCTCTCTTTTGTTATCCATTGTTCAGCAACAGTTAAACTTCTCATTTTGGTGGAATAAATATTCTTATTACTGTTTACCAGCCTTCCAAGTAGAAAGATTAAATAAAAACAATTTTTTTTCTTACCATAGATTCCTTGAATGCCATCAATGTCATCCTGAGGAAGAAGGAATTCACTGGGGTCTGTGTAGGAGTAAGTTGGATACATCAGTGCTCCCGGATCATTTGAATGAGACAGACCCAGTGAATGACCAAGCTCATGGGCAATAACAATGAACAAATTGTAGCCTGTAGGATAAAAATCATATGAAACAAAGTGAAATATGTTTCAGTATTCAGCATAGTTGACTAAATGGGAAGCATTTATGCATCCTCCCAAAATACATTGCACATACAAGAGAGGCTGTAAGTAATCCTATCAACTTCACAGCTCAAAAATATTGTAACAAAAGAGCTATATGTGTACTTAAAGAATGTCCAGCCTTAATTATGGTCTCATTGTCCTTCTGTCTTAAACACAAACCCTGTTTCTCCTGCTATCACATGAACAGCTCAGATCAAGGATCATGCCAACGAGTGGAAGTTCAGTGATCCAACAGAAAAAAACCTTCAAAACAAACACTGAAGTGACAGTTTTGGTGATACTAGAATAACCTAATTAGCACCAAACTTTGAAGTGTTAGGCTGAGAAACATAAAGGATTTAACTTGAGAAGTTTACCACCAGATCTTCCTGTATCCAAGTTTTAGTTTTCATCTGAGCAAAAACAGTATTAAATGCTGAACTAGTTGCAGTTTTAAATTACTGTGACTTAAAAATCTCTTTTCTGCAAATTGATTCCTACAAATGGCAAAAGAAAAGAGCAAAGCAATTTAAAAGGACAAGTTCTGCCACTTTTGCTCATTTTTTGCCTGTAATCAGGCTCATGAACTAAACACCACATGAGCTAAGATTGTATGAAGTAGAACTATATAAGTGGATCTAGTTATGAAGTCCTTACCTCTTCCATCTTTTGTCCAGGCTTCCTCCTCATCAAGATGCACATCTCCACCAATACCTTCACCAGGCTGGAAAGCATGAGCCAGCTGCCCATTAGGGCCATCAAAAGGAGAGTTGTCTCGGTGGTCTAAAATGAAAAGGAGAAAGACCTGTTAGGATCTTAAATTATTTCTATGATTGCAGATGATTATTTAATATGTAAAGATCTCAATGTTACCTCTATAAGCAAAAGAAATCATTATATCTGCTTCTCTGTCCTCAACCTTTTGGAATGTCAAGGGTGTCACATTGCTCCAGACACTGAGAGCTTTTCGGATTGCTTCGTCTACATCAGCTTGCCTCATCTTTGGGGTGTAATTCAAAATCCTTCAAAGCAAACCAAACACATTACATGTTTTAAGAATACAGCATTTTAGCTGAAAAATAATAACTTGTGTGAAAGTCAGAATTCTTAAATGTACGTTTCATGAATGAAAATGAATAATGGCTTCATTTTAGATACTGCCTTCCAGAAATTATTTAATTTCTCTGGATGTCCATATATGGCATAATGTACTTTAGACTCCCCCCAAGTTGGGATGCTAGATTTGTATCTTTTTGAATCAGATGAGGAAAGTTTACCTGTATGTCAGATTATTTCTTTTCCATTTGGGATTCCCTGCTGTGAACACGTATTGCCCTATATCAGGTACACCACATCTGGGTTTTTTCATCATCTCCAAAGTGTCAAGATCAGGTTTCCCAGTGACTTCTAGTCCAAAGAAAGCCTGCATTTCCTTGAGCTTTGCAGCAAAGCGATTTTCACCCTTGTTTCTTAAATGAGGCTGGTGATCCCTTTGAAGATCGTAGAAATTCTGTAGATAACTCTGAACCAGGTTTAAAACAAAAGAGCATTGTGGCAAATCAGTGTACTGTGTTCAGTCAAGTAATCTTGAGCTATTCCTGTATCGACATGCCCTGTGTTTATTAGAAGCAAGAACAGTGTATTTTCTCCAGGAACTGGTGTGAAGAGTCAGATCTAATTTACAGTTTTCATATAGTTTTCTGAACTTCTTGTTTCACTGATAGAATATATGAAGAAACGTCTTTAAAATCTAAATGTTACTATTAATAATTAATTCCACATTATTTGTGGTGCCCGATTACTCTGGCAGCAAAACTTATGGGGAAGCTTATAACTGATCTCATTCAAGGAAATAGAGATTGGCAGTGAGACTCCACACAGCCAGGACTCCCAACAAAGCAGGTGACTAGTCAGCACTTGGCAAATCATGACATTAATTTTTAGCTATGAAATATGATGTTAGGAACTGAGGTCTTCCTACTAAATTTCAACAATTTTGTCTCCAATAAATACTGTTGTGTCTATATAAGTGTTGTATTTCGCACAGATGTCCCTTTTGTTTCAAAGTATTCCATAAAAAATCCATTCAGCAAAACACTGAAATACACGCCTGCTTCAAGCAAGTTTCCTCCTTTATGTTACCGAAACCAGATGTATCACAAGTTTCAAAGCATATTCTGAAATGTACATTGTTGCTGAGTTTGACTATTTCTGCGCAGCCACGGAGCCTTGCTGCTAGAACTCTTGCTTCGGTAGTTTTGTTACTACTTTACTGACAATATCAAAAGTGAAGTTATGCAATATTCAGATGACTATTAGGTAAATAAGTTCCGCATAAGTTTCACATGTTTTCTAGATTGATAGGAAAAGCTTTTTCTTGAAACCTCTGCAAAACAGTACATCTTTAATTTCAAGCCATATTCTGTGAAAAGAATTGCAATTATAGTTATGTCTCAGACTACTTTATGTTTCACTTAGAAATGCACTGAAAAATATTTACCTCTACAAGCTGTAGGGTTTTTTGTTCATCTTCTGCTTCTGGAGCTACAGGAAAAGCAGAGGAGACAGCCACATAGAGTAACAGGAGAAGAGAAACGATCTTCATCTTCATCTAAGGCAGTCTGCCTTGGTTTCACTCTTGAGCTATTGAACATGCTTCTCAGCTCTGTTTATATAGCTAATTTTTAAATCAGTGACAGTCTGACTCATGCTGTATAATATCCTCTGATTAGTAAAAATGATGCATAGCTGTTTCGTCATCAGGTAGTGACACAATGTGTTTAATTTTACTGTCCTTATTTTGCCTCAGCCTTCTGTTCTGGGCAATTTTGTAGTGTGTTTACTAAATAAGGAAATGCTTTTCAGGTAAAATGCGGAGCCACGTTTCATAGGGGGTTTTTTTTTGAATCATGAATTTAGACTATTTATGGCATAAGGTCTTGACAAACTGGAGAAATAATAGGAAATATATGTATAGCATACTCTATAACAATATAGCATATTGTATAACATAATGAATAAAATTATGCTATATATTATGTGATATATGATACATAAGTTTTAATATTTAAAAATACAGCATATTAAGTCATAATATGTAATACTGTACACAGAACTTCTTATCTGGGAATAATCAGCAGGAGGGCTGTCATCAGCTAACTAAAAGTTATATCTAAAACAACCTTATGATGCTAGCAAAACTGAGTGCTAAAATGATTCAACATTTTTTTGACTGACATTAACAAAAATCAGCCATGTCATGGAATGTATACGTCGGGTTCCCATATATATGGTAAGGAAAACAATGTTTATACTCTTGCCAGCATGGTTAAGGTTTCAGCTGCAATACCGTGTTTGGATCCAGGCAGAGAGATGAGCTCTGGTCAGAGAGACTCCATGAAGTCCGACAGGATTTTTTGTGAGTCTGGAAAAGGAAGATTAAAGTAACCATTTCTTGACTCTGTGTTCACTGTTTCATGGAAGGGAGAGCAAGGGGAGCCATGATGAATGTTGTTAAATATATGAAAGGTTTTTCCTAAATGAGAAACAGTGACTGTTCTCCAAGACTCTAGAATAGTCTTGGATACTTCTCCAAAGTCTTTGCTACAGCTCACATGATCCTGGATTTGTGAAATGCTGCTTAACTTCTCTAACTCTGTTTCTAAACTAGTGTTATTTCGCTGTAAATATTTCTCCTTCATGTGTTTCTATAGACTGGTTTATATAATTCCTGATTCAATACCTCCATTTCTGTCTTATTTTTTTTTCCTAAGGAGTAGTTAGCTCCTTATTTCTTCTATCCTTTTTTCTTTATTTTCCAAGTGTATCATCGGCATGTTTAAACACATATAGGCAAAGAAGAGATGCAGATTAACCAGATGCGTCCAGTGGCTGAGACGGGGAGTTAGGAAATTGTGTGTTGCGGCTTACACAGAGAGGTTCTGCTGCCTTGCGGCAAAGGGTCTATGGCCGAACAAGAGGATATTGAGTAAGGCAGAGGATGAGAGGGGACATCTGGTTGTTTTCCAGGAAACTTTAAATAAATTAGTTTCCAAGGCAGCCAGTGGCAGGACTACAGTCCTGGACTCCAGCATTAGCTGTGGGAGATGTTTATGTATTTGAAGAGTCATCAAGTGAAAAACCTTAAACAGCATCACGAAGAGGAAGCAGAAGCAGTGGCTTCCCTCTGTCTTGGGAATTTCCACAGTGTTGGGCTACAAGGTCATGTCCCATTTCACTGTCTGTATTGGCTTCCTACTGCATGTACCTTGGCACATCTCCCTTGAACGAGGGAAGGAGAGGTTTCAGCTATCTGCTCTTTCCATGGTGTGGCAACTAGCACGTTGCCATCCTCTCCTTTTCAAGCACTTATCTTCAGACAAAAAACTCAAAAGCCTGCAGAAAGAGACATGAATATGACAATATGAAACCGAGACCCCTTGAAATATATGAGTATTTTTGTTGAGTGCCAGCTGGTGTCTACACAGTCCCTCTCTGCTTGTGGGACCATTGTGTCGCACCTGCATCAGTCTGTCCTGGCCTCTCACTAAACCCCATTTCTAGCTATTTTTATAGGCCAGGGGCTCTGTCCTGTGTTCAGGAGTGTGTGTGGGGTGTCAGTGTCTGATGTCCTAGGGTGGGACCAGTGGCTGGAGGCCCGTGTGTCTGTGGTGCTTTGACTGGAGAGACCGGGATGAATGTGTGTCAATTGGGTAAATACAAGTATGTGTGCAAGCACTAACAAACATCCATCTATGAGCCAGTGAGTAAGGTAAGGGGTTGGGACCCAGGTGTCAAAGTGGCCCTAAGACAGGGCTGGACACTGGAGAGACCAGGGTTCTGTGGGTTGGTGTCACAGGTTGAGGCTGGGCCGGCCACTGACAAATGACAGACGCTCTCTACTAACCCCTCTCCCCTCCCAAAAAGGAAAAGGAAAGAGAACAAGGGAGAGAGACTTTACGGTTTGGAAAAGAAAACTAAAACAGCTTTAATGAAACATTAACAATAAAAGAAAAGATAATAAGAATAAGGAAATAATGAAGTACATACAATATGTACAAATATATACAAATAAATACAAAAAAAATACCAAACCAAACTCCCCCCATCCTGATGACGATACGTCACCACCACGCTGCAGGGCTGTCACTGGGGCAGTCCCAGGCTGGACTCAGCAGCAGACAGGGACGGGATGCAGGAGCTGGACTTAGGCACTGGATTCAGGGATGCACGGCTCAGGATTGACAACAGAACAGACAGAGTCCTCCTCAGATGTCGGCCATCGAAGTAGAGAGAGATTGACCCTCGTGATCTCTCAGCTTTATACTGAGTATGACGTATATGGGATGGAATACTCTGTTGGTCAGGTTTGGGTCACCTGTCCAGTTTGCTCCTCCCTGCAAGTGTGACCTTTTACGTGCATGTGACCCTTTTCACTCCTGGCACCCCAACACAGAGTACAAGATTTAGCAGTGACCTTGGTTGCTATAAGAACAAGTATAAGCAAGGGCCTCTCTGCATCCCATTCCTTGGTATGAACTATAAACCTCAGGCCTTATCACTGTGAGAAACAGTCACTGTCTGGAAAAACATGCTGCTGTTTCAGAAAGTGCAGTTACTTAGAAGACACTTAACTGAATAGTTAAAGCACTAAAACAGAATTAGTTCTGGCTTAGCCCAGACCAGGACAGTTGGCTACTTGAGGGACTGAGGGCCCAAGTCAGCAACTGGGGAGGCTGTGGGATCTGGGGTCGTTGAAGAAACCTGTTCATGTGTGTGTGCATGAGGCAGCAGTGGACACCAGCATATCCCAGGGCAGCTGCTGGATGGGCGTGGTGTCTAAGCCCAGTTGCTGGTGAGGTCCATAGTGTCTTTGCGTGTGTGTACTTGTGTGCATGTGCCTACTGGGAACCCATGCTCAGCCTCTCTGCTAGCTGGACGTGGGAGCATGGAATTGCTCTAGCTTCACGTCTATTAAGGAACCAGATTTGGACAACTCCTAACACATTGGCCCTGCCTGAATTTTTCCTAAAATCTCCATGTAATATCCAAGTGGAGAGAGGTAAACTTTGCCCTTACCTACATCTATTTGTTCTTCAGAGGCAGTTCTTGCCTGGACTGCAAGCATCAGCAGCTCTCACGGGTCGCCCTGAATGATCCCACCAGGTCTGGGACCCATCTGCTAAGCCAATGCTAAACCCAAATTGGGTGCCTAAGGAAGAAGGGGTTGACACTGTTGCTAAGAAAGGGTCAACATTTTCAAGGGTTTTTCCGTTGTACACACAGGCAGTACAGGCTTGTGTCTCCCTGTATTAGCAATAATCCTGCTTTATTTGCACACTTCCTCAGAAAAAACTGCACTCTTGTTGTTTGTGCTGAGGCAAAAGACACTTGCAGTGTCCCTTTTCTAGGTACTCTACTCACTGTTCCTTGTTCATTAAGTCTGCATGGGAATGCAAGCACTGCCAGAGGTCTATCCAGCACATTTCCTCCTTTCAGCATTGACTGAAAAGGACATTTAGGCAGAAGCACAAGAGGAAACATATTTTCATGGAAGAGTTTCTCAGCCTCAAAAAATTTTCTAACTCAGTGATTTCCATTTACTTTGTACCCGACTTTCCTAGGGCTTACATTTGACTCTTCGGGCTTTTTTCCTTTTCCCCTAGTTATATCTGTAAACATTTTAAAATGTTCTAATGGCTTTCATCCTTCTCTCCTTAAGGAGAACCTTCCACCCACACCTCTGACTAAACAATGAAAAAATAAATTCATGACGTGGATCATAGTGGGGTTTCCCTAAATCAGTTTCTCATTACAGAATTACTGTAGAAAAGGGAACTTTGATTAGTAGTTCTGTAATTTTAATATTACAAAAATTAAAAGAAGTACTTTGTAAATCTAAGAATTATTTACTGTTATAATTTGTCACAATGATGTTTACAATTGTTTTCTCAGTAATACGTAGCACTACAAAGTACATTACATTCTTGCAGGAAGTACTTTTATGTCCATTCTGTGCTCTTACGCATATCTTAATCTTTTCATGTGTTTCCACTCTGTTTTGAAACCACAAAATAAAAATCTATCTGCAATCTCAGAACGATATCCTGAAGCAAGCTATTTTCCTTGGAAGTTATCATTTTTCACGAGAAGACTGGTGTGTCAAAGATACCAGTCATGTCACTGTGCAGCAATATTCAACTGGCTGCCAGATATTCACATGTAGTTAGAGAATTAATAGGAAATTTCTTTTAATGAAGTAAGTACATTTTAAGAGATGAAAAAGCCAAAGGCAACCCTCCAAGTCAAATTTCTTAAAGGTTGCACAAGCTTGTGGCTTAACGTCACCCAGCGTTAAACATTTATGTTATAGAAATGCTTCAAGAAAGTGATCAATCACTCTGTTTATGAACTAGGGTGCTGTGCTGGGCATTGTTAAGAGCACAATGGTATAGTTCAAACCACACTGAAGTCCAAAGGCCACTGTGATAAGGCTCAGGATGTCAGGTGCTGAATCAGTCCTAATTATTGTATTGTATAAGAGCAATTCAACGTGACAAATCGCAGACTGGGGCAGTGCCTGAGTTACACCTCCGTGACTTGCAGAGTCGCAGACATGGCATCATCAATGATGTCAGTAAAAGGAGAAGGGAAGGAGAGCCGCTTTCCATGCCAAGCACCTGTTTCCTGAACATGCAGGAAAAGCAAATCACATTCTTCATCTCTGCAGCTGAGTTGTTGCCTGGGATGGGAACCTGCTCTGTTGTGTCCTGAGCGTGCCTTCCCTGACGGCAGACAGACCCTGGGATACTTTGCAGAGCTGACCTTACCAGCTTGAAGTCCTTTGCCTTTAAACTTGGCAGTTGTCAAATAGGCTC